CTGTCATCTGTAAACTTTTCACATTTTTTGACTTCTTTTCAAGAACCACTGGACCAATTTCAACCAAATTTGCCACAAAGTATCCTTATGTGAAGTCTTTCAAGGGGAAATAATTAAGAATTTGTGAACATTTAATGGCATTTTAAAAAAAAAAAAAAAAAATTCTTCTCAAGAACCACTGGACCAGAAAAGATGATATGTATGTGATAGCTTCATTACATAGTGTAGATTCAAATTTATTCAAATCATGGTCCCCCACAAGGATGGGGCTACATTGGGTGATCAGTCATATTTATACATAGAAGCATCCTCAGGTAGTGTAGATTTAGATTTGTCAGAGATTCTTTTACAGACAATTTAGGTCTGAATATTGGCCTTTTTCCCTTTTCAAAATTAAAGAATTTTGTCCCAGTTGAACTTGTACTCCCCCCCCCCCCCCCCAAAAAAAAAACTCTCTTGAAAAAAGAAAGATCTGTGTGATATAGAGATATTTTTTGATCATTTTAAATTGTGAATGCAATGTAATACAAAAGATGGAATTTTAATAAATCAGATCAAATTGTATGCATTGTTTGATTTTAAAATTTATTTAGCTTACCTGGTACATGTATTTACAACAATATTGCTAATTGATTTTTAGCTCACTTGAGCTGAAAGCTCAAGTGAGCTGTTCTGATCACATTTTGATCATTGTAGATTGTCCGTAGTCCATCTGTCTGTCTGTCTGTCCGTCTGTAAACTTTTCACATTTTCGACTTCTTCTCCAGAACCACTGGGCTAATTTCAATCAAACTTGCCACAAAGCATCCTTGGGTAAAGGAGATTCAAGTTTATTCAAATGAAGGGCTACACCCTCTTTCAAAGGGAGATAATTATTAATAAGAATTAGTGAAAATTTGGTGGTATCTTTTAAAAATCTTATTCTCAAGAACCACTGGGCTGAAAAAGTTGAAGCTTATGTGAAACCTTCATTACGTAGTGTAGATTCAAGTTTGTTCAAATCATGACCCCCTGGGAAAGGGTGGGGCCACAATGGGGGGTCAAAGTTTTACATAGGAATATATAGGAAAAAACTTTAAAAATATTCTTTTCAAGAACAAAAAAGCCACAATTAGTCATTTTGATATGGAATCATCCTCATGTACATGTGGTGTAGATTCAAGTTTATACAAATCATGACCCCCAGGGGTAGGGTGGGGTCACAATGGGGGATCAGAGTTTTACATAAATGTATATATATAGAAAAAAAATCTTTAAAAATCTTCTTTTCAAGAACAACAAAGCCACAAATCATCATATTGATATGGAATCATCCTCAGGTAGTGTAGATTCAAGTTTGTTTGAATCATGACCCCTGGGGGTAGGGTGGGGACGCAATGGGGGATCAAAGTTTAACATAGGAATGTATAGAAAAAAGTTGAAACTTATGTGAAACCTTCATTACATAGTGTAGATTCAAGTTTGTTCAAATCATTACCCACTGGAATAGGGTGGGGCCACAATGGGGGATCAAAGTTTTACATAGGAATATATAGGAGAAAACTTTAAACATATTCTTCTCAAGAACAAAAAAGCCACAATTAGTCATTTTGATATAGAATCATCCTCAGGTACATGTAGTGTAGATTCAAGTTTATACAAATCATGACCCCCAAGGGTAGGGTGGGATCACAATGGGGGATCAAAGTTTTACATAAATATATATATAGAAAAAAATTCTTTAAAAATCTTCTTTTCAAGAGCAACAAAGCCACAATTTATAGTCATATTGATATGGAATCATCCTCAGGAAGTGTAGATTTAAGTTTGTTTGAATCATGACCCCTGGGGTAGGGTAGGAACACAATGAGGGATCAAAGTTTTACATAGGAATGTATAGAAAAAATATCTTTAAAAATCTACTTCTTAAAAACAATGGAATCATCCTCAGGTAGTGTAGATTCAAGTTTGTTCAAATCATGACCACCGGGGGTAGGGTGGGCCACAATGGGGGATGGGGGTCAAAGTTTTACATATGAATATATAGGAAAAATCTTTAACAATCTTCTTCTCAAGAACAACAAAGCCACAATTAGTCATACTGATGTGGAATCATCCTCAGGTAGTGTAGATTCAAATTTGTTAAAATCATGGCCTAGAGGGTAGGATGGGGCCATAATGGGGGATCAAAGTTTTACATAGGAATATATAGGAAAAAACTAACTGCCTATACAAATGTAATAGCTATTTAAAATTGATTACTCATATTTTATCCCACATTCAGTGTCAAATATTAAAAAAAATACTTGCTCATTATTCAATTATTTCTTTAAATTTCTTTAGAGTAATTTACAATATCTGTGGCTATAAAAGTTTATTTTTAGTAAATTTTTAGACTGTACAATATGGACTTTTTCAAAGTTTAATAAAAATCACTTTTCATTTCAAATTCATCATTATACCATTTACCATATTAGAACTAGTAAATATTTTGATCATGCACATGAAGCCTTAAAAACCAGTGTGAGGGTTGCTTGCATGAGAAATTATGAAAAGCTATTGATCGTTTTCTCTTCACAATTAAAGTAAAAGAAACTGTTCAGCATATACTTTATTCTAAAGTAAATGGAAAGAAACATTTCTCTCATGATGCCTTCATAGAAAATTGCATTAATTTCATAAAACTAAAACATAAAACAAGTCAAGAAACTTGTCACCCAAAGCAACCTGACTCCACTTTCCTGAATATTGCCATCAATAAAGCTTGACTTAAAGCAGCTCTTAATGTCCTCATCAATACTTAGTCACACGTATGTAAACTTTGGGACAATTTCTCCCCAGTGTACACATCCTTTTTTGTTGGACCGCTGAGCCAAGAAAATTACGATCAATTTGTTTAAATGCAGTTGACACCGAGTATTGATGTGACACAACTGTTAAAAGTGTTGTGTTCAAACATTTCATTGATCATATTATTGGTATTCCCTTTGCATGCATTGTGGACAATAATGGGACATTTTACTCTGTCAACTTAAAGTACGCATTAAATTGGGAGCACACATTTTTTGTGTATTCATTGATGTTTAAAAAGCTATTTGACTTTATATATGTTCCCAGGTGTTTTCTTATGAAATGTTTAGTAGCTTTTATCTGCTCCAAAGTTTTCTCCATTGAGAGATGTAGTAAGGTACGTGGGCTTTGATGTAAGAAAAATTACTTTTTTTTTTGCAAGTTTAACATAATATATTTTGTTTGAATGATAATAATGCAGTGATTAGAGAAAATTGTCCAATTTTTGATGAACTTTTTTTGTGCTTGAAATGGGATAAGTTAAATTTTATTTGAAATAAAAGAGAAAATAAAAGAATGACAGGAAAAAATCAATCACAAGAAAAGTTCAACCAGTAAAGGTCATATCCAATACTGAAATTCAGCAGATTATCGTAAGTTGACTTGGAAAATCTTGCTAATCTAACGGTTATTTTTAAGGTAACTGATTAAATCATAGAATTTAATGATCAATGAAAAATATTGGTTTAATGCTTAATTGATTGGCTAAATTATCTGTAAAATAACCAAGCAATTAAATAGGAGTGAGAGAAACTCGCATGATTGTCTCTGATTGATTAAAGTGAAGTCAGCTTAAGAATATTAGAGAGATCAGGACAGGCTTTGACAGAGAACGAAACAAGGAGGGCTATTTCTCATTGTCTCCTTACAAACCTATAGGGCGCCACGAATGGGAGGTTTTAGTAGACAAAAGCTGCATTGCAAAAAAAAAAAAATTAATAATAATAATAATAAAATTTAAAAAAAAAATTAAAATTCATTTTATTTTAACCCCTTCCCGTTTTTTAGTACGTTATGTTAATAAATCATGGGCCCACATTGTTTTTTAAAGAGTTACCTTGTATAACTGTGCAGGATAAAGCTAAGTCTAATGATTATCACTTGACAGACCTGGAGAGTAAAAAGGAGTATATGTAATTTATTTTTGTTGTGCTCTCAATAAGTGATAATGAGAAATAATGCAATTAACATATCTTTACTTACCATTATCCTAGAGATAATAAATTGAGAGGCATAATGAGTTTTACACCAGGATGCTAATCTGTCATTTCTATCTGGTGATCAGATTCATACATACACTCAACACTGGTGCTGGAAAATCGCCTTTCATCTTATCATCAGCAAGGGCTACTGAAGAGAAGACGGAAATTTCATATAAATTCTCCACTATCATCTTCTCTTAACCAAGACTTAACCAAGAATCTAATGATTGTCTCCTTGCAAAAATGCTCTGCCATAAATTATCATGTTACCTTATTATAATGATTATAACTTTTAATTTGTATGAAACTGTGTTTGGTTAAACATTTTTTGGCAATACTTAAAATTTATTTTTTTAAGAAGTTTTACTTTTAAGTGCAAGTTTATTTCTTGATAAACTTTATTGTATTGGATAAGAAAGGTTCTTTTTTTTTTTTAATTATTAACAGTCATGTGGAATTTGTTTTACTATGAGTAATGAATACCACAGTAAGTAAACCAGTCATCATGCAACACAGTACCAAGATGTGGTCACTTTATTATGTTCAGAGTTAACCAATCAAAGACATCACATGGGAACAAATTAGAACCTCCCTGTCCAGTGTTCCTTTCCTTTAGTGTACCTCATGGTGAGTCCCTGGAGGGAATGCTCTGGGTGGTAGCATTGACATAAACACCTCAATAAACATAACACACAATATCTGTACCTAAAACCCAGTATCAAGATCCCAGACATCCCATGGGGAAAGAGGAGGACCTTTATCAGTATACAGTTACTTAGCATACCTATAGGTCCCCCTCTGTTGGCCCCAGGTCCTGTCCCTAGGGTGACCTACTGGGTTGTAACAGGATCATCTCTGTGGGTTGATATGTTACAGATTTTCCCTGTCTCCATCACTTGACCAGTACTGTGGAATACAGATGTAGAGGACTAGGAAGCTGCTTTGGTTCTTCTTTCAGTGATTGACTATTTTGAGACAAGGAACCTTTTTTATGTGTGCACAAACAGACAAACAGTCACCACATCTTTGTCCTTGACAGTCACTATTCAAGGACAACCTGCAGGTTGTATACAGTAAGTAGATTATATTATTTAATTTTCCATGAACATTTTTTGAAATGTGATCAATTTTTGGTAATATTCAATACTAAATATTAAGGTTTTGTCTTGCTGTGAAATAAATCTTTTTATTTTTCCTTTTTAACTTGAAATGTAATTAAAAAGTAATTTTGCCTTTGATTTGTAAAACCATTCTTTACCATGCCCCCATGAGACCATTGCAGGAGAAAGTCTGATCAAAGAGACAGAGTTAATCAAATCAGTATGGATTTGATAGGAAAGACATGACAATTTGACTTATCACAAGACAATTCGTGACAGATGTCCTACACAGGTAGATCACAGCTCCAAATTACCTTCCTACTCATTCATTATTGATATTTAATTAGGTTACATTCTGAACAATGACTCAATAATTAATCAGAAAAGAAAATTGTTTTATGGTGAAGATGTCTCCTTTATCCATATTAAAACATTATGGCGTGCAAAATGTGACAATTTTTATTGGCCAATCCAATCTTGCAGTGGATCAGATGTCTTTGGGAATGGAAACATCTTCTAGTCCATTGATCAATATTGTCTTTTTTACTGTTTTTATGTTTGTGATATTTTTTTCCAAAACATTTTTGTTAGGGAAATGCTGATTAGAGAACTAGTTGTTACAGTTTGTTTTTGCAGGGAAATTTTTGCGATATGGTTGCTTTAGACTTTTTTTTTTACCTTAGGTGCTGGAATGTGATAAATGTCAATTGACAATGGTAAAAAGGAAAAAAATTGATCTTTGATCCAGGTTTATTACACGCTAATTGAATAACTGTTGATCTTTTTATTGTCCCATTTCAACAACCTATAAATTATTCAGGAGGTCCAAATGATATGCTTTCTGCTCATTCCTAAAAGAATAAAATTGGCAAAATTCAAATCTAAAGTCTAAAATGTCTTCAACATTCTCTGAAATGCAATATGGGAAAAAAATTGGAGCATCTTGAATATTAGTTGTAGCATATTGAATTGGACAGCAATGTTAGAATTGGGTAAATTATGACATTTTTTTGGCTTCAGTGCTGCAAGCAATTTAATTAAGGGCCTGTTGAATAATTAATTTTTGCTAAGACAAGTGTTGTTTGTAAAGTGTCATGCAGGTTGTAATTTTGGTTGGAAGTGGTGTTGATCACTTGTTCTTAGGTCCCCTGAGTGTTATCCAAAAGGGTCATAGAAATGGTGAATAGAATAGTAATGTCCATCTGGACAGAACAGGACAATAAAGCTGGCCAGACCCCTCTGTCAAGGACACAAGCTAATTGGGCCAAAATATTTAGCTAGAAAATGGCCTTTTACATACTATTGGTATTCACATGCCAAGATTCTCATATATATTCTGCATTAATATATATATAAATATATATGTATTTTTTTTGAATAAAATATCAGATGTGTACATGTATTGCAGAATTCTGTACACTTCATATCCTGAAGTTTTTGACATGTCTCGTTATTTGCACTAAGAACTTTTTCCCCATGATATTTCTCCCCATCTCCCCTTTAATTTAATTTGAAGAGAAACCTTTTCCTGCTCTTCATAGTTTGTTTGCTTGTCTAAGTGTAATTACCTTCAGTAACTGACCACCTTGAATATTTGGCTATTACTTTCCCTCCAGCCTTCCTCAATCATTGGGCAATATGAACAACCTGCATGCTATACATCACTGTCTTTTTCAAAATGCAACACAACTAAAAACAAGCTTTAGGATAAGTGAACCCTTAGCAAAATGAAAAAATCATGCAGTCTGTGTCAATTTTTTTTTTTACATCATTAGTTGACCAGATTTATTCAATTATGATACGTACCTTTGCTATTTCAAAAGTACAAGCTTTTACCCTTACCAGTTTACTTTGCAATGTCTTTGTCTGGAAAAACTTTTAAAGCCACATTTGTGACAAATATCTTTCAGTATTGTGGTTAGACAATTGTTGTGTTCTTCTTTGAAATATTAAGTTGCTGATAGTGATTTCCTGCCATTAGAGACAAGCGAAACAACTGCATCCAAGCATACACATCCACCAAATGCGCCACAGCACTTCTAAACTTTGACTGGTTTTAACCTCTTGAAAAGTCGCAAACTGATGCTGGCTTGTTTATGTTGGAGATAAATTGACAGTAAGGAACATCTTGTTCCTCTGTCAGCTGTGATGCCAGCTAGCCTAAATTTGGGGTGTTTTTGGTTCCTTTCCAGAAAGTCGTCTGCTGTGTAACCATCCCTTGCTCTCCACACAGATAGCCAGAAAAAATACTGCTGTGACTTCTTCTTCACATAGCCACGACCAGAGACGAGGAAACATCCTAAGGAATTCTGGGACATTTTGGACAGTCCTTAAGGAGGACACTTTGTTATGGTTGTTGTCTTCAGATAATGAAACCCTTGGAGGTAAGGGAGATATTTTTTGTAATTAGAAAAGGAAATTTTTAAAGTCATCAAAAATTTTAAGTGTCACAACTTTTTTTTTTAAGATTTATTTAAATGTAAATCTTTTAGTTAATTTTGTGAAATTTATTGAAAGAGAAGTATTTTTTTTAAGAAACTTTACTGAACTTGTATGAATTTACTTAAATGACCATGTTGTCAATGATAAGAGGGTAATTAATTTCCGCTGACATATATCACATTGAGGATTCCAACTCTCACATTAAGTAATTTCAGCAATTAGGTCCATGGTTCTCAAAAATATAAAAATAAGATTTTTTATACAGGAAGGTAAGAAAAAAATGAAGATCTGATCAAACAAAACAGATGTTGATGTATGACATTGGGGCTTCCTCCCATTGGTAGATTCTGTGATGGAATGTTCTATTTATAGCCCATCCGGCTCTTCTTCATTCACAAAGGAAAACGGTACATCCTTAGAGGGCTTACTAAGGGGCATATCATTTTTATGAATGAAAATTTATCATTTCAAGTTCAAAACAGTTTTTGAGAGAAATTAACTTTTTTGTTCATTTTATTTTACACTTAAAGAGAATTATTATTATTTGTTGAAATTATAATTAGCCTTTGAAGTGTTTGGATGAAATTTAAAAGAACTTGAACAATAACAAGTGTAATGTTGTCCCTAATGGTTTAAAGTTGATGGCTCAGAAGATTGTTAATGAGGGCTTAATAGGACACCCTGCTAAATGCTGGAGCAGGTTAAATAGGAACGTAACAGTTTCTGGATGGAGTTTAATGTCATGTTCAAAAAAAAAAATTGTTACCCCAAGGGAAGATGTATTAAATTTCAATTATCTGATCTACTGACTTATAAAGATAATTTCTTTAAATTTCCAATTTTTCAATGATCTTTCCTAATAGTTGATTTATTTTGGGATGTAAAGGAGAACATTAAAAAGTAATTTCTGTAAGTGTGTCAGGGGGCTTAACAAAGAATTTCCTAATCTGTCACATGGTGCTGAAAATAATAGCTTCCAAAGTAAATTAAACCAAAGGTTTTGTTGCAAAGGATCACTTGAATCTCATCTGACACACTGTTGTGGTTTGGTTTGAGATTATAGTATGTCATTTTCTTCCCATCGAAAAAATTACTTCAGCTGATGACACATTGAGTTATGTGACGTCTTTGAGATTTTTTGTCTTATCTCTGTAGATTGCCTCTGAAATGTAATTCCCTCACTCATTTCTATCTTGGTGTTAATGACATTTCCAAAAAAGAGATAAAAACCTAAGATCTCAATATTGTCTTTATGTCACAAGGCACATTCCTCGTTCTAAGCTTTTAATTTGTGGGTAATCCCAGGACAGTTTCAAATTTGTGACTCTATGGTGCTGACAGAATAAGGGGGGACCCTAGGGATATTAAATCGAGAATATGAAACTTTTAAATAACATTTAAAACACTCAAAAGAACCTCTTCCCTGTCACATAGATTAATCGCCTACGGAAATCAATTCCTACAAATCATATTGGCCCATGTTGGTTTCCAGAAATATGACAGATCGCAAGAGGGGAGATTTGGGAAGGACAATGAGACTGAGAATGCTATTGAATCTAGTTGCCATCCTTGATAGAAGGAGAGGGTAGAAATCTATGTCCTGGTCACCAAACAAGTTGATGATTTAGCGCAAAATCAATGTCACTGAATAGCTTAATTCTACGGCACTGGGGACATTGAATGGATTGGTATTGGAATCATTGGGGGACGTATAATTGTACTGTATGACAAATCTATCAGGGCACTTAGCGACAATAATCCCTCAAAAATGCTTCATTCACTACTGAGTTTATTTTGGGATTGATTTACAGGGTGTATAAAGTGATTAAATCAAGACCATTGATATCAAGTAAAGAGTGGATCAAATTAAAGTGACAATTTTTAATTTCTGCTTGCTGTCACAGGTTTTATTCCTTTGAAAACAGCATTTTATTAAAAATTACATCCAGACATCAGTGGAAGAAAAAAGCTATCTCTGATTGAAATTCATGAAAAAAATCTATGTTATTAAATCTATGAATTTTAATTTGGGTCATGGCAAGAGATTGAATATTCTTAATCTACATTTTCTGTGAAAAATAAAACAATTGGAAGCTCAAAAAAAATTTATTTTTGGAATAAGTAAAGAAATTGTTAAGGGTAATTAGTGTATCCTTTCATTATAATTCTGATGGTTACAAAAAAAGGGTTTTATTTATAGGCTGTGAGGGTCCTATCTTTTAATGTAATTCTACCAGCTCCTTTCCCTTTGATGTGTGAGATTTGTGTAGATCAGCACAAAGACAGGCTACCTAAATCTGTGATAACATTTGATCTGGTCCCAGGGTTATGTTACAAAATATGTTGTGAAAATTTTGGTATCTGTTTTATAAATCAGCATAAAAAAGGGAATCTGGAGAATGTATGGTAGATAGAAAATGTATTCAAAACTAGGGGAGATAATTCTTAAGCCATTAGGGAGATTAAACTCAGTAAACTACAGAGTTATGTTACATGAAAAAGTCATTATATATTAGTTATGTTGAGAAAGAATATTTTGGGAAAAAAAATAGATTTTAGAACAATTGGAGGCCTTCACTAGAAAGTTAAAAGTTTAAAACAATTAAACGGAGGATAAAACTATGAGAAACATTAAATGACAAAAGAGCACGTAGATATTGGCGAAAGCAGGGTTCCCAATTTCCTTTAGCTGGAGTCTATTACTCTAACAACGTGAGGGTAATTAGCAGGTATCTTCTTCACCTGAGACTTGTGCTGGATTTCATTTTATCTTGTGTCCCGAACTTTTCAGTTTTATTGAAAACACCAATTCTCTGACGCATATTGCCATGCCAACAGATGATTTCAATAAAACACAATGATACATGTTTTTGATTCCATTTCAAGTTTGGCTGAAAAATCATCTCTCTGAGACAGAGCTGACGGTGTACTACTAATTATTCAAAGATTTGAAACCCTGCAATTTGGGTGATTATGCATAGTGGATCCTGATTGATTGTAAAGGGAAAAAAGCTAAAGTGCTAGAGCGAGACCTGTTCCCCCTATATTGCAGGTCATTGTGTCAAAGAACATTCAAAAGATGAAAAGAGAGAACATCAAAACTTTTCTAAGAAGTTGATGGCAACACTCCCTAGACTGCCGTTTTTGTAAAGATTTCAATAGATATTATCCTGGTTGATGAAATTGGCGGAATATGAAAGAGTAAGAGGCAAAGACTAGATAGAACTAATGATGAAAATTAAACTGTCGTATAAAATTTTGTATGATACCACAGATGAAAAGACCATGCTTATTGGTAACACACGCCATCAAGAAAAGTTTCACTGAGGCTCTAAAATTAAGTCTCATCATTAGCCAGGACATTTTTTCACTTGAAAAATGAAAGTTACGTGCACAAGTTAACTCGTTATATCTTTGTGTATAATTTCGTAAAAATAGTTAAGATAATGTACTTCTGTTGTCATCAACAAACATAACTCTTATAATGCGTAAACCAAGTCAGCAGTGGTAGATAATCCTTTGATGAAAATGGAGATCATCGGGAAAAAAATTATTGTTACATAAGAAATAATGTCAAGAAAATTATCTTCTCAATTTTATTTGAAACTTTTAAGATCTAATACTTGTATGCAAAGTGCCAAAATTGTTTCTAAAAGAAAACATACCCCTCATGAGATTCAAAGCAATATATTACCATGCTGATTGATTTACAGTGGAAACTCCCAATATATTTAAAACCAAGATTAGTAATAAATAGATTAAAAATAGTCCGAGGAAATGTCCTCCAGATAAATTAATATAGTATCTTGGCTGATATTTGACAAATCTGAGCATACAATGCCAAAAATAACTTAAGAGATAGCTGAATCTGAAGATTGTGCATTTTCTTGCCAAAGTCTAATTGAAATTGATTGTCACAAGAGAGACTCATTTTAGGCAAACATCTCATTTATTTTCAATGAAAAAGTCTGGAAAACTAAGCAAAGTGTCATATCAGTGATATCATTGTGCATTTCATTGCAACTTCTCATACGACACCAAATTCGTGGTAATTGGGTTCGCTTGTACAATATTGATGTAACATTGCGTGTGTAAGGACATCAGTGAGTTTTTATCGGATGTCTCTGATTGGTCATAAAAGAAGCCTCAAGTCAGAGAAAACTACGGAGAGCTCCTATGATATACTGACGATTCCTCTGCTCCATGGTCTCGTTTGCCAAAATACAGACCTATCCTCCTCATAAGGAAAAATTAGCCCAAAGCCTTTGACACATTTCCTTTCTTGGAATGATAAATAATGCTATTTCCTGATATATAATAGAGACCTCAGAGGCAAGATTTTGTAATATTAAATTGTGAATTTCTGACGTATAGTGTATCTAGGTGGAGTTTTGTCACACAATTGGTAGACAATTTGCTTTAATATTGCATAACTATGGTAAAGTCCCTCAGATTGGTAGCCACTGCATGCAGTCATTAAGTATATAGTTTATTTTCCTATGGGGGAACAGTTACATATCTTAGAACCAGTATTATTACGTTTACTATCTTACTGACTTTATTGTACATTAATTTATTTAGGATTAACTTGATTGTTTAATGTCTTCTCAACAACCCAAAAAGAGGGAAAAACAAAAAATAAAATTAAAAGTCGATAAAAGAAACATTAAAGTAAGATAAAAAAAAAAAGCATTTCACTGTTAAAGTAGAAATTAAAATTACATAAAAAGGACAATTCTATGTAGGAGAATGAAACTTTAAAACAAACTGAGGAGGTCTTTGTTCTTGTCATTGACAATGATTATCCCCCTTAGAGGAGCAAAGTTACACCCTCCTTTTGCCCCAGTGTGCCATATGAGATCTAGTCTTTGAGAGGAAGAGAGGAGATAATTATGTGACTACTCCACATTAATATAAAATTAATGAGGTCTCGTGCTTCACCCCCACAGCTGTTGGGGGTTTTTGCAGGAGGAAATACAATATGGCTAACTCCTGCATCCCTTTCTTAAGGAGTCCCATAAAACACAACTTCCTGCAAATTACAAAAACAGTTTCTTGGTGGAAGGTAATTATTTAATTGTGATATAGAATTAGGCACTGGTATGAAGAAAGTTTAAAAAACACAAATTGATTACAGTGGAAATCTTAATTATTCAGAGTAACACTACTTTCATAATGTGATGTGAAAGCTCCCCCATTTTTTTTGGTTTTTAACCCATAAATTCTTGACAGTACTACTGCCTAAAAGTATTTCTTCAGAATCCCAACTGTCACTCCCAATCTTCAAACATTCCTCTAAATAAATCCTGCAAAGTTTCAATCACAGAGAATTCAGAGGTGCGTTTTGTGTAGGTAGAAAATTGAAATCTGGCAAATTGAAGCCGAACACTGGGGGGCATGTGTGCAAGGACATGGTGCCAAATTTGACCTCATTTAAGAAGTCTTGGAGGAAAGACATTACTTGCCAATTTAAAAATAATTTTTCCCAAAGTAAAAAAAAAATTACCATTTTTAACTGCAGTTTTAAAGCTAGCTTAAGAATTATTGATAATTTGAAATGAATTTCAGTCAATTATTTAGATTCAATTCCAATTTACCAATTGACACTACTTTGAAAAAAATTTTTTTTTTTTTTTGGGTTGCGCTGAAGAGGGATGTTTGATTTTAATTTTCTTTGGAGTAATTCAAAACTTCTGGAATTAATTGAAGGAAATAAATTTATACAACTGTGTAGGGACCATGATTGTCAACCCTAACAACTAATTAAGGGGGTCTCTTGACAAGAAGATGTAACTAAGCCCATATTCTTTAATTATTTCAAGAGAAAAAATGTCAACATATTGGGAAATGACGATAGAAAAATTGAAGTTATTTGATCCAGTTTAAATTGCAGACAGCTTTGTTTCATCAATTGTTAATGCTATGCCTTCTGTATGCCAGTTTGACTGCTTAAGCCTGCCTAAATCATTGCGATAATTTATTCCAAATCCATCAATTCCATTGGACTAGGAGGTTCCATTCAACATCTTAAATGTTTTTTCTATAATATTAACAAAGTGTGCTGGAATATGAGCTCAAGATGCGTAAAGATCAAAACTTAAGAAAAACTAAAGAAAAAAGAAATTATATTCATAGAGTGGAGATAAAACATGAGAGTTTGAGTGGAAATTGCATCAGGGGGAACACAATTGGTTTCTTCACATCATTTGATAACCTGAGACTCTTAATTGAATCACACCACTACACAAAACCAAAGACATGAAAATGTGTAATTTTTGCAAGCGATTCCCAATAGAAGGCTACTCTACCAGCAGAAAACACGGAACATGTGTTTTATCAATTTTGAAGAGCAGGGTGATTTCTGTGATGGCACAAGTCAATTCGTTAATCACATCCGTTAAGTGCCCGCCTTCTATGCAGCTTTGCTCAAATGCTGTGCAACAATTGTCTTTCAGTAATGGTCCGAGAAAGTGATTGTGTCTCAATGGACTAGAGGAATGTAGCTACATGTAACCAATAATAATAGTGACTTGACAAAATGAATTCATGCTGATTTAAAAGTTAAAATCTTGTAGGAAAAAAAATTCCTGACAAAATACTTCAATTTAACAAACTTTTTTCTTTAAAAAAGAGAAAGGTAGATTGAAAAGGACACAAGTTGTGAAACTTTGTTGTGTTTAATGAATTCTGATAACTGTCCATGGAGTGGACAATGTAGGTTTCCAAGGTTGTGGTGTGTATTACTTCCAGGACAAAAATAAAAAACTTTGTCATCCAGTTACCATGGATACTAGCTGTTTACCTAACACCTCACTTGACCTGTCAAAAACCAGAAAGTTTTTGTCTGTCTCATCTTTACTGGACTTGTCTCAAAATGAAAAACCCAAACCAATCCCTAGTGTGTCAGAGCTCAGTAATGGCCCTGCCAGTGGAGCTCTGGACCTGTCTAAAACTGACCAGTATCGACACATGTTGAACTTCATCAATAATAAGTCACCAATTACACGGCTTTGTTTTCAGGCTATCCGCTGCACTTTTCCAAATTGTACCTGTGAGTGTTTTTCACCTGGCAAAGTTCACCTCCGTTCCTGTGAAGGCTGCAAACATGGATGGGTAGCTCACGGTAGGACTTATACAAAGATAAATCATTTTGTTCATTTTACACCTTGCAAGAGGGTTTCAGTAGTTTCTGTTCTAGAACTCAACAAGCAGTTAATGTATTTTATTTCTTGTGTGTAATATTTTTTTATTGGACAAGTTTTATCCCATTTCTAAAAATAATTATTGAAACCCTTCAGCATGAGTTAGTAGGTACAGTGTCATTTTAGAGTGATGCATGAAGAAAAAGTTAAAATATCCTGATTATATAATTATGTACTATTGATAATAAAAAATGAAATTATATACTGTGACAATTTGCATGCACAGTTCAGGTGCCTATGTTTTTGTTTTACATGAAAGTAAAATATACTCAAAAATCATAACTTTTGAAAATAAAAATTGTTGTAAATTCAGTACCGGTAAATGAAATCTTTTTAGAACATGCATTAATGGAATAACCAATTTTGAAGTATGATATTTTCAGTTATGATTATGAGCTTAAAACACAAGATTAAAAAAAAAGAAGAGTTGATTATATACAATTTACTTTTTTTGGGTCAAATGAATTATTGGTTAAATATGAAATATTTTCTTTGTATCTTGCAAAAGACATTCAATATTTTGTCAGTTCTTTAGAAAGTAAAAGAGAAATATTTAACAATTCCTTGTAAGTTGACTGACTTTATAAACCTTTGATACTAGAGGGTCTTTAGAACAGAGTAGCTCTTTGGGGATGTTTCTATAGAATCGGTAAGTGTATTAAGAATTAGCTGATTGTAGAAGATTTCAGTGGTGAACTTGGAAAAAAAAATTTGTATGTTGAATTGTGAGAATTTTGTTATTCACAATTGCAGGAGTAGAACAATATAGTAGACTAATAGTTTACATGTACCAGTAAGTAAAAACAGACAAACACCTTAAAGATGTTTTGTTGTTTTCCTACTTATTTTTACTCCCTACCCTTTTTTTATTCATTAAATACCAAGGTATTTCTCTTTAATACAATAAATATTTAACATAAATTAAAACCCACACAAACTATCAAGTAAACAATATAGAGATCAATAGCCATTTTTCCCCTTTAGTAAATTAAAAAAAAAATAATTTTGTTAGTCTGTATGAAGTACTTGCACACAAATTTGAAAGAAACTTTGAAATATTATGTTGGGAATTATTTTAAATATCGAATATCAAATTTTGATTTGATGGCATATTACTTCTATTATTTCAGAAAAATGTTTGAAGAAAAAAAAAATACAATGTACATATTAATAATTTTAGTATTTCTCCTTTAAACAAAAAAAATTTCTTATAATCTCACCAAATTTGAATTCTTTGAAAGAATATTTTTATAGCTACAATTATTGAAGTTCAAAGTTGCAGCAATGCATGAAATTCCCTTATGATGATTCTGACATCTGTAAACAACACATCCTTTTGATCCACCACGGGCTTAATCTGGGTGGTGACATGAATAATAGATGCAATTTAGAGTAATTTGAAAAATGTTGTTTGGAAATCCTAGTACAAAGCAATTGATTTCTCTAAATGAAGTGTCTGAATAAAGGATTTGTCAAATCCTACCCTATGTGACAATCTGATACAGGTAATTCCATATCAAATTCAATCACTTCAATTACTGATCAGTCGCACGCGTCTGCTTCAGTCCGTAATTCAATTAAAAAGATACAATCCTGTCAGTGCAACCTGTAATGACAATTTCATTGAATTTTTGATAAAGATCAGTTATTTCTTCTTTTTTTTAATTTTAGTCTCAGTCCAGATTTTGTATCACATACTCTGCAGAATTTAAAATTGAAAAAATTCAGCCAATTTGGTATTTCATTCAAAAAAGAATTTCCAGTTAAACAGGGAAAGGGATTTTTGTCAAGTGTAAGAGATGACGTTACAATGCCTGACAAAGGAACATTGACCAGAGTAGAGATGTCTGCTTTGCCAGTTATGCTAATAAAGTTGTGCAGATTAAGTGGAATATACATAGGCTTTTCAATAAGTAAAACAGAAGATGTCTGCAGGCATTAAGTGTGCCGTTTATGACAATTTAGACCTGGTCCACCATGGGATAGAGAGTAACTTGGGCTAATTAGATTAACCAATCAGAGCCACATGATACACAGTCATCAAAGACTCTCCCGTCACTATTGGTGTCTGTCATGCAAAAAATGAAAAATTATCGCAAAATTGGAAGCGTCTCCTCCTTAATTAGGGTAAAGGAGGGGAACGACTCCTGCCTAAAGTGATCGAGAACACAGTTTTTATGAGGAAAGGTCCCTCATTGTTCTTTTTTAAAGCCATAAAAAAGTAAAGGTTAAATGGATATCAGCTATAAAGTTGGTTGAACTAGGGCTTCAAGCTATTGTCAAAGGCAGTGCCATTAGTGTGTTCTTCATTAAGTGTTACAAGTAGCTTGATTCAAAGAAAAAGTTATTTGTGCACAATTCTTTTGAATTCTTAAACAGAAATTTATGGGTAAAGACCACTACTCCAGTTTGAAATTTATCATAATTTTTTTAAGGTTACCTGAGTCATATAGGTGACCATCACCTTGAATTCCAGTCCTTTGCTATATTGCATCGTTAGTTACTTTTTAAACATTCATCTTTCACTTCTTTTTTGAATTGGCTGTTTAAAGGGGGAGGAAATAAGCACCGCCCTCAATTTTACCTGGTCTGTGAACCCCTGTCAATCAGATGAAATTAAGCCTGAGATTGGATACTGAAAATTGATTGACATCTTGTTACCTGCCGTTGTGTATATCTTGTATACCTTGGCTGGGGATCGTACCGATCATTGAATTAACATTCAGTCTTTGATGCCTACCGCATATAATTTATAACATCGTGATAAAGAAGCAGCCAGAGCTAATTTTTTTTAACTTTATGATAAAGTAATTAGCCATATATAATTTATATTTAATAAGTCTGTCAAATAATTAAATAAATGAAAAAGAAAATCAGTCATATATCTATTTAAATTGTAATAAAGAAAGGGGGGTTCATTTCACTATACAATCTATAATGCAGTATAGATTATCCAAATTTACACGTACATCGATTTTACTTAAAACAGAAAATACCTAACTACATTGGAAGCATCGTGTAATTTAATAAAATAATAATTCCTTTTAATTTTATAATTATGAGATAGTCATATTGTCCAAGTTAAAAATTTTAAGACGTGTAATATTTCTTCGAGACATGGTGATGAAAGTTACGGTAAAATAACCAGTTTTAAAGAGAACTAAGCATTATTATAAAAGCTGTCATTGCATATACAAGTTATGTTTAGAATTATGTATCCCGAGGAAAAAAGTAGGATAAAGTGATTATATTCCCGTTTCGTCTTCCTGTCGGAGAAACAATACGCGGATGCCTTGACCATTTTTAACATGCATGCGTCATGGGTTAATCACATACGAATTATACAAAAAAAAATATTTATCTAATTTATTACATATTTTCTAAAAAATTTAGCCTTCAAACAGGATTTCTAAGTTTTAGAGACTTAATTATTCAGGACTGCGCTTTTTTCTACTTTCGTTTTGTGAATGACTATTTCCCTCGGTGTCGCAAGCTTACTACCAAAGATTTGAAATTTATTAAAGCACAAAATTAATCTAAAATTGTCTCCTTTATTCAAACATATTTTAAAAAAAGAATTGAACTAAAGGATTCAGTCTACATAAAAAAATTAGCATGTTTTATTTCATAAATTTGACGATCAACAATTTCGATTGACCAACATGCGAAGTTAAACTATGTCTTAGGAAAACATTTACAGGTAATATATACAGGTAACATTCTGTGTATATAGGTAGGTATACACAAGCCAGCTTGGTAGCCTCGGGGCTTCACAGCCGTTTCAATTAAGCTCCACCCCACTCCAAACTTACCTGAGGAAAACCGACCGGTTGAAAACCTCGGCCTTTAAGTACCTTATATACTCGCCTATAAGTCCTGACCTGACTGTTAACCTAGTTCGCCCAAAAGGCAACCTGGTGATGAGTTTGATTTGTCAATATTATTTGTATAAATTTAGTTAAAAAAATTAGAGGGATTGAACCACTAAAATACCAGTCTTTTTATAACTCGCGTATAAGTCGGATAATGAGTTATTGATCAAAGTTTAATCCCAAAAAACCGACTTATAGGCGAGTATATACGGTAAATTTAATTCAACCAATTTTAGTTTGCAGCATCTTTGGTTGAAGGGGAACAAAAAATCTGAATTTCATGGTTACTATCCCCTGGGGACTGAGGGGTAGGTTCAAAATCATCAAAATTCATGCAATCTTACTGATGGGCTCTAACAGGTAAACTAGCTGTTTGCATGATGATTATGAGAAGAGCTAGCCCTCTACCTAAATTGTGACATTAATGTCCCCTTGATCCATGTTCAAGACCTAGGTTGGAGCTAATTATACTTTTATATATCTTTAAAAATCTTATTTATCCTGAACATTTAGCAGTCAAATTGTATATCTGAAGACAATAAGCTGTGATCTCTTTACCAAGTAAACTGTGAAATTTGTGTCCCAAGCTCTGGGTCCAGGATGGGACTAAATTGATCATATACGAGGTTTGTTCCGTAGAATTCGTGGACAGTGACATTTTTGTCAAACTGAATGTTCCTAGATATACTTATTTTATGCCAAAATATTTGTTATGAAAATCCAAGTCAGAATAGTTTGGTTTTGATTATTTAAATTTAATTTTTTTTGTATGAAATACAGTCTTTAAATGTCGCAGATAATGCGCAGAGCCCAGGGTTAAAATGCCATATTTTTTAAAATAAGCTTTCAAATTAAAATGACTATTTTCTTCATAAAACTAGTCAAAGATTAATAAAAAATTAAATGTTTTGCAAATAAAGCGACTGTCATTTTCTGATATCTTTCTGATATCTGACAGATGGTGAAAATATTAAGAAAACCTTGCAAGAAAAATATTTTTAAAAAAAATTGACGGAAAAGGCTACGTTGACCATGTGAATGGAACAGCG